ATATATATACACACACACACATTGTTGAAAATGGCTACTTCAAAACCGATGAATCAAAAATGTGCCGCACACGGAGCAGAAAATCAGCCAACACAGAGCAATCAGACTTTACCTATTTTATTCTTTTTTTAGCACTAAAAAAAGGAGACGCTTACCCTTACAGACTAGGTGTGAATGTGACAGAGTCTATACAGCATCTGATCAAAAACGGGAAGATTTGTTTACTATACTCAAAGAATGCACCCAGTAGTCATCAGATGTCTGACGTCAGTTTTACATCAACTAAGTTTCTATTTCCTTGGAGACAGGAGTCTGAGGAGTTTCTGTATGTGTTACAATTACAAGGGCTTTTGTGTGAAAATATGAAAATGTAGTGTGTGAAAGCATGTGAGTGTACTTGACCTTGATAAGCGCCTCAACAATATACACAGTCTCTTTCACACACAGAGTCAGTCTTTTTTCTTCTAGTTTCTAGTCCTAGTTATGTTATCCATTGATTTATTCACAAACGAGTCTACCAGTATATACATATACACATATATACAAGTTCACACAATAGTTCCTAAACTTTTAAGTATATATGAAAACAGGATTAACAACAACAGTAATAGCAAAAACTTTCAATAACGTGCAACTGAGTAGGATGACTTTGTCAAAATGTACATGATGTGGATATTAAACTGTAAAATTATAACAGGAAATGTAGAATACGGTGAGTCGGTGCAGAGGAAGTGATCTGCAGTAGTAGCGGAAATTTTTATCAAACATGTCTAAAAAACTGCAATAACTATATGTAAATGCCAGTAGGGAAGTAAACATTTCTTGATTTTGTTGAGAGCAGTGATTTGATTCACTAATTTAACAGCAGAATGGACTTTTTTTTTGTACATTATATTTTTTAAAATGTTTAGAATGAATTTAAAAGAGCCAGAAATGAATTGTGGTTCTGTTGAGCATTGTGATGTCACTTAGGCTGACTTGTCATCAGAGACTTTTGGAACGTTTGTCAATAAGAGAGCAGTTCCTATAGGAATTCATCCATTTGAAGAGAGAGACGTCAAAGATATTACTGCAAGAAATTCAGTTGAGAATCAGGTTTTCAAGTAAGTATTTATTTAGAAATTAGTGAGGCAAAGAAAAGAAATGTAATTTTGTGCTAGAGTTTTTTGAAAGAATTGTTCCAGCGATGTTGCAAATAGGTTAAGCAAGACAAGTTGTTAGAAATAAGTTTTGTAACTCTTCTAACCATTTTAGTAACTTTTTGATGTAAATATCAAATGTATCATTTGTGTATTTAGCACCTTTGTTGCATATTTGCGAACTTCATTGAAACAGCAGAAAAATATTAAGGATTTACATGTTTTTTTAAAAAAAAAATGTTCTTCAAGTTCTATATAGTTTATGATTTTCACACATGAAATTATAAATTAAATTTGATAGGTAACTAAATGATGATCTGATTGACATTAAATGAAGTTTCAGATATATTACATCATTAAATTTACAATGTTTACTATGAAAATGACTTGGTGTTCTCTGTTATGTTATACATTTTAGACATGCTTTGTGCCAGTCACCGACCACCTTTCCATGTCTTTGTGTTTTTTACAGTCATGCTAAGAAGAAGTGAACGATTGAGAACCAATGGCTATTATGACATCAATGGAAAACCAGTTGTGTCATATTGAGAGACCCCTTTCAGGTATATTAAATCAGCATTTTTTTTTTTTACATTTTTGTTTTATACAGTCAACTGCTGATCAATGTACATCTTTACTCACTTGTATGTTTTCTGTCTTGGGACAGAAGGAGGCGCAGAACAGGTCGCCCTGTAAACCGACCTGTAAATCAGGAGGGGACATTTAGAGAGAGTCAAGAGGTGAATGTCATTCACCAACAAAACGTCTTTGTCGTCATCATTGGTGTTTTTGTCGCTTTTGGTAAATACTCTCCTTCTACAAATAGTCGGTTTGGAAGTGTTATAGAAAGTCTGTATTTTAAATGTTATCTCACATCATCTGCTCATGTTCATCAGCTTGTATTTGTCGGATGGTTTCTCTGCAATCGCGACCTTCAGAGTTACCTGTAACACCAACTCTAACAGACATGGTAGGCTTTCTCTTCCTAATCTTAACACTGATTTAAATATTCTAAGCAAACATGAGAACAAGCAGTTAACTATTATATTGTGTACAGGTTACAATCTCTGGAAGTAAGGATCAGGGACGTCTCTCCAAGCTGCAGTTGATGCAGTCAAAGCTTGACTACCTTCTACCACAAGCAAATCTGTGGCCCAACTTTGCTCTGGAGTCTCAAGGTGAACCATTACAAATAAGATCATGAACTAGTTTTCAATTTTTCAGTATTACACTTTTCTGACTCACATTATTTCTGATTTTGTGCTTTGTGAACAGGAGCAATGATTTTAGCCAAAACGACATCAAAACCTTATCAGAGCCATAAGGCATGTCGATTGTTTGGAACATCTTTCAGGCTACCACCTATGGGCCCAAACATTGTTATTAAGGTTTGAATGACATTAAGATCATTAAATAAGTTTCAGGAAATGTGGTGTTTCTTTTTGATATAATATTAGGCTTGAGGATTTTCTTTTCTCTTAGTCTTGGTACCCCACCTAAACTTTATTTTGTTCTCTGTTTTCAGGGAAGAACACATTTGAATCCAGGACAATGCTGGGCCTTTGCAGATTTTCCAGGACGTTTAGACATTGCTCTGTCCCACAAAGCCAACATAACGCATGTGTCCCTGGGACATATTACAAAGATGGTATCCCCCACTTCCTCAATCTCTAGTGCCCCTAGAGAATTTTCTGTCTATGTAAGTCAAGTAAAATGAGTGTCAAAACTGTGAAACATATATATCCACCTGTAGTATATTTTAGCCTTTAAAATGTGATAGTAGTGATTCAGTAGGACATCATTTGATCACATTCTAAACTATTCAAACCTTCTGTCTGCACTAATGAATTTTCTGCTCATCTCAGGATCTGATATGTTTTTAGAGACACCAACTTTCACATATATAGAAAAAACAAGATAATGAACTGCATTTCTATCTCATTTTGACTCAGGGAAAGAAGCATTTAGAAGATGAGGAGAGTCATTTGGGAACTTTCCTGTATGATCAAGATGGAGACCAATTGCAGACATTTAAAGTTCCTGTAAATATGTCAAATTTATATTTTATTAACCAAATACAGTTATTACAGAAGCCCAGAGTGACTGACCTTGTTATAAATATTGAGCATCTTTCCTAACATACAACCAGAAGTTTCTTCACTGGGTATTACTAGCATTCAATATAAAAAACCCACTTTAAATAAAATGGCAGATACAGTATTATTGTTCATTCAAAATGCTCCAATGAAAATTTCTATTTAAACCATAAAATATTATGTTAATTCTGCACTTCCAAAGGTGTTGAGTGAGAATGTAACTGATAGATAGCATTGAAAAATTAATGAGTCAAGTTTGTAGCAATTATGTTGTCTAGGCCAGTGTTTTTCAACCTTTTTTGAGTCAAGGTACATTGAAAAAATCACAAAGCACACCACCAACTAAAAATGTAAACAAAGATACTCTGTAGCTGCCTATATTACATATATAGTCATTCTTATCAAAGTGTCTCGAGTAGGAATCAAACACAAAAATGTATTTTTATCACATTTTACATTTCTTATTTCAAATTGCATGTAACGTGCACTTCAAAAATACACCTGAACAGGGCCACAACAATGTGGTCTATCAAAGTGTCTTGAATAGGAATCAAATAAACACAAAAATGTATTTTTATCACATTTTGCATTTCTTATTTCAAATTGCACATAACATGTCCACTTCAAAAATACACCTGAACACCTGAACAGTGTCACAACACTGGTGTGTGATGCATGAATGTAGTAACATTCATGCATCATTAATTCTCGTTTTAATGTAAAATGCTCTATACCTACTGCCATCTAGTGATAATAAAATTACATGATTA